TATACATTTTAGCACAAACATCCAATAAAAATAAATACATCTGCAGTGAACATGGTAAATTATATGCGAACTTACACTATAATAATAAACAGGAAACAGCAGCATCTGAGTCTGCAACTGGCTTCTCAGGAGGCTCCATGCTTCCAGCTGTGGTAGCAGCTGTGGATCTGGCTCTGGAAGAATTTCTGAAACAAGCTGACAAAGGGCTGATTACAACATGGAGTTCAGTTTCTGCTTGCATTCATTTTGCTTTAACACACTTCGCTTATGCAGAGTTTGCTCATTTACTCTGTTTGTGGTTTTTTATCCTGCATTTCACAGTCATTGGGCTGCTGCAGTGATTATCACCATTCCTAGTGACCTTGATCATGGGGACCGTATACTGTCTATAGCGTTTATGGGACATTGCAATTTGATTTTGGCTTATTGGAAGAAATTGAAAACTCTCTTCCTTTCCTCTTCCTTCTCCTCCCCATCCCCAGAGACTATTTAGCATTTTTGTCCAAAGTATTGTACAGTAAAGTTGTTGGACTTTATTTTTATTTTTATTTTTATTTTTATTTTTATTTTTATTTTTATTTTTATTTTTATTTTTATTTTTATTTTTATTTTTATTTTTATTTTTATTTTTTAYTKTTGCTATAAGCATAAAAAAAGGCAACTTTTGAGACTACCAAAAGATACTCACCTGCAGTGAAATCTGGAGAACAGACAAGAGTCTCGGAAAGCTCTGCCATAGAAACAAGCAGAAAGCTTCTCTTTTATCACTTTTTTACTACAGGGAGTAGTTCTGATTTCTTAGAATCTGATTGAAAAAACAGCGTCTACCTGTATTTTCTTAGAGCAGCTTTATAGCACRAACTTCACATATTGGAGATCCGTCTTTTCACCTCTGGTTGCCTGGGCTCTTTCCTCGATTGTATGCTAAAGACATGGTTAAGCTACAAAAATGTCTGGCCTTGAAGCACATACTTAGAATTAAGCACTTCCATTGCAAAGTCTGCTTTGTGAACTCTTAGAAATTTGCTTCTGCTCTCATACTGTGGAGTGTCTCTGGTGAATATCTTGAGACCAACACAGCCTTTTTCATTACAAATTCTTTCTTTTTCTTTCAGTCCTGCCATCTTTTTAGAAAACAGCTGTATTCTTTAGCTTAATTGAATCCCAAAATTGAATCCCAGTTGCCTCTGTAACTGATTGCTCAAACTCTTCTTTCTCTTTCCCTCTGCTTCTTTTCTTCAAACAGGATTTTACTCTTTTTCCTGAGGAAAAATAGATATAATATGATCTTCCTTCTCTCATTCTATTCTTCCTTCTGTAATCCTTCCTCCTTCTTCTCCTCCACTGTCAGAGCAGCAGAAGTTTCTTGTCTACTTTCCATCTGTACCCCTTCCACTTACCCCAGTGACCCCACGTTCTGCTCTCCCTCTTGTTTCTTCCCTCCCTTATTCTCTTTCTTAACCTCTCACTATCCTCTGGCTCTTTTCCTTTGCAATATAAGCAAGCATTTGTCTCTTAAAAATTTCACCTTTGACTCTACTCAGTTCTTCATCTCATATCTCATCGTCTATCTCTTCTTCATTCCTTAGCTCATTGAAGGCGCTGTTTATAATTACTGTCTGGAGACCCTCTTCTGTGATTCCCTCCTGTAACTCCTACACTTTGGCTTCTGTTCCTTGCTTGCAACTGCAACAGCTCTCACCAAACTCCCCGATGACAAGATCTAAGAAACAGTAGTCTATCCTCATTCTTCTTGACCTGTCAGTAGTGTTTGCTGCAGTTGACCAGGGTCTTCTTTAAACTTTTGTCTTCTGTTGCCGTAAGGGGCTCTCTCTCCTTGATTTTCTTCTTTCTAACCATTCCCTCAGCATGTTCTTTGGAGTTACCTCCAAATGAAGTTTTGAACGGGCGTAGGTGGCAGTCTTGGGGCTCTGCTTGGGATGGTTTCTTTTCTCCTTTAATGCTTTTTGGCTTATATCAAACACTAAAGAAAATAATGTAGCTGCCAAATGGATCTGTAGATAGCAGATCTACCTTTCTATTTACAATCCATCTCCTCTCACTGAAACTTATTAATTCGTAATTGCGTAAGTGCAATAAGCGTTCCACCCAGAGCTGCCTTGAATCTRGATGTCTTGGCAAATGCTCAGAGCAGATAGTTGATTATCTTCCTTCATTCGTGTAGACATGCATATTTTTCTGTCTTTTTATAATAAGCTTTCTGTACCCCAGCTAGCTGTACCAGCCCTTTTCTACTTTGTTTCCAACTTGTATTACTTTTTATGTGAGTGACTCAAATTGTATCTCTTATTTCAGTGTTCAAGTGTTATGTACGAATGAGCACATAACAAGACCTTGTCAAATAGAATTCATATTTTATGATCTGTACTGAAAATGGTTCTTCTAATATATTTGACTCTTTTACAATCTCATTCTAGGCATTTCTTCGTCATTTCTGTGAACTTAGTTCCACTTCTATTCCCCCTGTCCCTTCTTCATACCATCACAGTACTTCTTTATACAATGCCTTTAAATTTAATGTTATCATCCTGCTTCTGTTTTTTATACCAATTGATTTCATGAAAAGATTAAATAAAAATTGTGCCAAACTCATCCTTGATGAACTCTATTATAGAAGGCTTTTTTTTCTTCAGTCTCCACAGGACTTTATTTTCTSTCTGTTAGGAAGTTCCTTACTTGTCTAATGCCTTTAACAAACCTATTTCTCAAGTTTAATATTGAATGTCAGTGTCCAGATAGATTATGTCTGCCATATTTTCCTTGTTTAAAATTTTAGTCTAAACACAATGGTGTAAGCGTGCAGAGAGCTCGTAATCTCAAACAGATTTGTACACTGCAGTAGACAGATTCCTTCAGGTCATCACATACTTTCCTACCCCATCAGGCCCAGCTGAATTATGTGAGCTCAGGCGGGTTTCTGCTAGCCAGTGTGAACTACAGGGAGTATTTCCTTGTTCTCTGGATACCTCTTGGCCTGCTTTTGTTTGCTGTATTCCATTCCAGATGTCATTCATGCCACATTATCACTACCAAATGCAGGTCTTTATGATAATATATATATATATATATATTTATATATATATATAGCTGTTAGGAACATGTAAGATATGGCCAATTAGAGGGAACATTTGCATTTACTTCCTTTGTGTTTAGTACTGTTTCTCACTTCATAATGAGCACTGTGGCTTACGTTGCAAAATAATTTCAGTAAAATTCTGTGTGTTCTGTAATCCTAGGTACCATAATATTAACATAAAAATAATCTTTTGGGTCTGAGACTTTTCATGCTTAGTTTCATTTGAAAATCTGTGCATATGCATGTCAAATATGCGGAAATTATCTTGAACTGTTTTTGAGTACATATCACTGAAAAGCAAGGCAATGTTTTTACTTTTGAAAATAGCTACCTTTTGGTTTAGTGCAGATCAGTAAATTCAAAAATTTAAAACTTAATTTTTTTGAATTGAAACTGACATCTTAATGTCCGGGAGGACACTTATTTGACGAAGTTTATTTCCATGTTTTGAAAACATGGTTTTCATAATAACATACAAATAATTGAAATGATGTCCAGTAGGCATCTGGACTAGAGTTGTGAGGTAGATGTAATGTAGCCAGCCCTTTTACTGGAGACAAAGTTAATTTCCATTTCTTTGTCAGGGCTACTCAGCTTCTTTTTAGCTTCAGGGGTTGCTTCTTTGTTATTGCTGGTTCCACTGTGTAACACCCTCACTCCTCTATTGGAATGGAATATGGTCTAGATGGTAAAATGCTGACCAATTTTTCCTAATTTATTTTTGCCTGTCACTCATCCTGGTTTCACATTATATCAGTTTCTCCTTCAGCTGCAAATAAGACATCCCTTACCCTATGGATCTTGACTGCATACAAACTGGCATCCGTTCAATCCAGTTTGCATTATAAAGTGTATAATTTAACATTTTATCCTTCCTTGTTGGTGAACACAGAATGATGAGGAATCAATGAAGGCTCTTCTCCARTTAAGCAGTTGAGCAGCCTCCCATTTGGACTGGGGCTCTGGCTGCCTCTGAGTCTGTTGTAAATCTCTCTACAATCACATGTATTTTGATTTGGAAAGCCTGTTTCGTATTTTGATTTTGAAAGCCTGTTTCTAGTTAGATTAGTCATATTTATAATCAATTTAAGATCAACAATTAAAAGCTCAATTGGAATTTCATGGCTTTTAATTATCACTAAAAAAATGAAATTTAAACCAAATTCTACATTAAAATGGTATTAAGACCAAACAATGAAGGCCCAGTTGTGGCATTTTTTATGCTTTGTGGAGCAGATAGCTGCTGAGAGACACAAGCTGGTTCCCCAGTTTCCTATTGTCCAAAGCCATACCTGAGCTGCATCTAGCAATTGAATTAGCATTTTCTGGGGCACTAGGATAGAAATACCAGCAGAGAAATTGCGTGGGGTAACATTAGAGTTTCTGCATTCCCCATAATTCTATTTAATGTGGTAGCAGGGTTGTTAKAAGCTCCTTGTGTCCTTGTGTTGCTATCTATGGTGCAGGTAGCTGGCACCATAGGTAATTGATACCTGTGCAGGTAACTGGCAAAGAGGTAATTGATACCTGACTTCCTCTGGATATCCTGTGTGGGCCAGGCAAAAAAAAACCCTTGCTCTGGTTCTTCAAATTTAGAAAAGAAATACCAGGAAAAAATGAATTTTCCTGCAACAGCATTAACTTGACTGCATTACCAATCCTTTGCAATTTTTGACATACATTGTCCATAAATAATGCTGTGAAACTATGTGATTTAAAAAAAGAGAAATATACTATTTTCATCTGATGCAATTTTAAMTTTTCATTCAAATCTTTACCCTATGATCTACTTAAATATTCAAGATTGTACTTAATGTAACATTTTTGAATGTAACATATGGACCAATATTGATAAGTCTATATAAAATAGAAGTGCCTTAGTGTGCTGTTCTTTTTATTGTAGGTATGTGTCATGTGTGCTGGGATGCCCATATGAAGGAAATATCACACCAATTAAAGTGGCAGAAGTAAGAATGCCTTTCTGGTTTGTCTTTTTAATTATAAAGATATATCTTTTAAAATATGCCTAAGTAATTTTCTCTGCTTAATCCTAAAATAATCTTTGATGAATAAAATTCAAGGGAAACAAACACAAAACATAGATTGCTGTAAAACTGGTTGTATAATCTCACTATTTATTTCAACCTGTCTAGTCAAGTTTAAGGAAAATAATGAGTTTTTATTATAATCAACCTTGAGAAAAAAAATCTGCCATTTCCTTCAACAAGATATCAAGGAAATATTTAAGGAAATAGAGTCAAGTATATATGTCAGTGGACCATATTGCATGAGATGATTTCCAGCACAATCTACTGCAAATGGAATGTACTGATAAATGTGTTTTGTGCTCCCCTGAGCATATTGCACACTGTCCATCCATAGTGCCACTACTAAACACTGTGTTTCTACCACAAAATTACTATTACCACGTGATTAAGGCATGAATCAAAACCCATGCACAATGTCATTTCCTACTGCTTACCTTACCCCAYTCCTATGATACTCCCTCCTCCTCAGCGCCCTTTTCCAAGTAAGATAAAGGAGAAGGAAGGAGATGTTCAGTCCACCCTTTCTCTCCAGCAGAGAAAGAGTTGAGGGTCTAAAAAGGCAGGATACTGAGACACAGCTGTCATATTCTGCAGGAAGACAGAGGGCAAAACAGGCAGTGGACATGAAAGTGAGAGAATTCCAGAGTCAGCAAGACATGCTGACCTTCCTCCTTGAGAAGATTTTCCTTCCCTTCCACTGTGCCTTTTACACTTAATTACCCATTTTTGGAAACCTAGCAGAATCTCCGGAGCATTTTTTGGTTGTTGTTTTGTAGCAGCTAGTCAATATTTGTCTTATATCTTGTATTCTGCATGTGTGGCTTTCAGGTCCTGTCCTTCGCATCTTCTTCTAGTTTACATTCCAGATGGAACTTGTGATATGGCTGCTCCTACGGCAGCTACTTATACTCTCACTCTTTGAAAAAAAAAAAAAAAAAAGCTAAATTGGAAGGTAGTCAGTATTTCTAAATTAATTGGTTTTAATATGAAGTGAAAGTTAGAAGTGACACAGCTTTAGTTAGAGCAGTGATGACAGATTCAGCTGTGCTGTTGGTAAATTGCTTACTACAATATCATGTTCCCCAACAGGCCTCTTTCCATGTGTTGCTCATTTTTTAAAACTAACTAACTGCTCTCCTTGCACAGAACAGCTCCCTTTCAGTATGGCAGTGGGAGAGTTATTTAGTATTCCAGACCTGCAAAGTTTTACTCACACAGTTGTTTCATTTTCTCTGTTCATCACAGTAAGTTTTTTCTTTTATACCTGTACAAGATTCTGTATGTGCTTAAAAAATCATTTAAAAACGTACCTCATTAATTTATTAATGCAGGACCTGATTCAGCAAGAATTGATGCTTATCTAGAAACATCTGATTAGATGTTAATGGATTTTACATAAASACATGCACTCATTCTTTGCCAAATCAGGGTTGTCAAAATTATTGTCTGTGCTTAACTCTGTCACAGAGCTGCCTGCTGGTCATCTTTTCCAGGATGGGAGCATGTTACTCCCATAACTTTGCATTGCAATAGCAACTATAGCTTAGGTTGATACTGTTTCTTCCAGGATCAGCCACAGAGAACAGATGATTTTTTCAGGCTTTTTTTTTTTTTTTTTTTTTTTTTTTTTTTTTTTTTTTAATCTTTTTTAAGGGAAAGACAAAATGAGCCCTTTCTTTTTCCTGGCTACATGCATTTCTGGCTTACTTGATACATAACCATTTTACGCATAGGGATTTAATGGGTCTAAACTTGAGATGCCTTCAGAGTTGCAGAATTCATCTAGGATATMCATCTGGTTCTTCTCATCCTGTAAACTAAATTAATGAATAACCCTATTTTATCACCCTGCTTTCTAAAATAGAGTCCCTTTCTAACCACTTATAATCCTCCAGTTTGTTATTTTTAAGTGTAGGTCAATAAGGCTTAAAACTTGTTGGAAACCCATGGTAATATCCTTGAAACTAATTTTGTTTCCCATTATCTTCTAGGCATATACTTGGCTGTTCCTATATGGAGCTGTTGTCTCTCTGTTTGCTTCTTTCTTTCCTTAGTTCCCTTTTAACCTAGATCAGTGAATTCATGTAAATATTATACAGTATTTGGTAATTTCCCCATGCTGATCAGGCCACAGAAAATGTATGTATTCTTATTTCAGTATTATTTAGATAATTTCAAAGTTTCCCCTATATCACATGCATTGCACTGTGCACTTATGCCATTATTCACTTAAAAAAAATCTATAACTGGAATGCAAACTGTTTATATTCAATTTAAGAGTGTAATTTTAGATTTTCTTTCCAGCAATAGAATTGTTCACATGCTTAAGGGGTTACAGTACTGGATCAGCTGCTCACATTTTAGTCAGTGCCTGGCAAAAGGGCAGTACTCMCACGGCAAGCAACACAAAACTCATGCACAGTAAAACTGTTGAGCAGTGCATGCAGAGCTTTTCTATTAACAAAGCTGCAGTCTCATCATGATGTTCTGATTAAACTGACAGAACAATGTGTTCTCTTCTTCCTTGCCCTCCTCCCCCAAATCCATATTGAAAACCAGCAAAGCTCTCAGTAGTAAGCCTTCTCTTAAGATAAGTTAGAAAAGATATAACAGCAGGATAGAAAATCCAGTACAAAAAACTACCATTCAACTTTCAAACGTACATTTTTTTCTAGAAGTTAAATATATGCCTCTTTGCTTTTTAAGTGCCAAATTAAGTTTAGATCATGAAAAATCAATTATGACTAACCAAGTCACCTGGCTGGTACTCTCCGTCAAGACCATTCAGGGCTTGATTTTCCAAAAGCTGAAAGGCCCCCACTGGAGCACTTGAAAGAACTGAATCTGGTAGGATTTCTAGCCAGCTAGAAGCACCTTGAATTGAAAATAGAAAATGAACACCTGAAAAATAGTCTTTCACCCTGCTGCTTTCACCCTGATATTAAACAAAAGATTGGGGGTTATCTAGAGGTAACTCCTCAATAGCTGCACATGATCCTGTTTTTTTTGCAGCTGTAGTCTATCTTAAACACCTGTCTCATGCTAATGATATAGAAATATGCTACAAGGTGGAATCCTGGTGAATGACCTTGTCTTAAGTATATATTGAATTTATGATGGTATGAACCCAGGACTCTTTGACTTTAAAGCACAAAGTTTTACTACATTTGCAAGAGTCATAGAACTTGCAAGCTTTGAGCAGAGCAATTCAGACTACTTGAAGTTCTTTTTCAGCTGTTCTTCGAATTAAGTGACCCATCCATAACCATATTAATCCATCCGGGACTACTGGTACAGCACTCTGTCAGCTTCCTCAGACATATTCACAGCAATCCCACTGATGAAGTCTTGGAATTGCTTTACCAGCAAAGTATAGGGCAACTGAAGTTGTCCTGGAAAAAGAAGATATTTTTTTATCATTTCTAAATAGTTGATWTCCAGACTGGGATTCCATGTGAGTGGAGTTTCCTTTTGGGAGTGTTGGTACACAGTGGGGGATGCTAAGGAGGACAAATACACTCAGGAACTGAAAATAAATTAAAACCCTTTCCAAATAAATTCTACAAGCTAAGATAGAAAATTTTTATATTCAATTTCTAAAGCAGTATTTTCAGTGCAAACAGTTTTGTGCTTCCTGGTGTATGGCTCTCTCCATACAGACATTATGGGACCAGACGTCAAATCCCTTATTCATACAAAGAACTCCTCAAAGGCATAATTCCAGGAACATTTAGGGCTCTACTTATAGATGTAAGGAGCATTTGTATAGGGTTTTTCTTTGGTTTTGGGGAAAATTTGAAGACATAAGGACATGATGTTATCTCTTTTAYAGTTTTGCTATTTGGATTTCTGAAAAGCAAGCAAAATTGATATTAGCTAAAGCATATTAAAACTTCAGTTTTCATTGATGCTTTCAGTGCCAAGAGAGAGAGCAAAATCAGGCTTCTAGTTAATTATTTATTGTCTTAGTTCAGCCGAGTGCTTGGCTCCGTGTAATAAGCAAGGAAAAGGGTAGGTCTTTACCYTGTACAACTTGTAGAAAACATGAAGAAAACCAAACAGCTGGAAAATCCCCGAAGAGAGGAAAATGTTGGGAAAGGGCTTAACAGAAACTTAATTCATCGTATAAAATCTTGCCTCTTTGGATTCTGTGGGATAATCGAAAAGCAAGTTGTTGATGGATTTGGCTTGGTTGGTTATTCCATGTACGGAAACAGCAAGAAGAGAGTCTTTGGGATGTTGTGGTCAGTGACAATTTTTAAGAATAAAGAGAGGATTTCTGATACTAGATCCACCTCAGTGAGACAAAACGCTATGTATTACAGGGTTACAGCTGACAGTTGTACATGTGTCCTTTTAACTGTATGTGTCCAACCCTTTTTTTCACTCTTCATCTTGACCTCTTCGTGTTTCTCGGCTCCTACTCAGGTGTCCAAACGTCTGTACAGTATGGGCTGTTATGAAATATCTCTGGGAGACACAATTGGCGTGGGGACTCCTGGAAGTATGAAAAGGATGTTGGAAGCTGTAATGAAAGAAATTCCTCTGAATGCTCTTGCAGTTCACTGTCATGACACTTACGGCCAGGCATTAGCCAATATCCTCACAGCCATACAGGTAACTCGGGTTCTCCTTTTATAGATATGATAGTAATAGTCTTAACTGAATTGAAATACACAGATTAAAAAGTCTTAATTTTAAGGAAATCAACAGGATAGGAAACAGGCACTCACCAGGCTTTCAGAAATATTACTTATGCTTCAGTTTGTCTACAGGTATTACTGCTTTTGCTTATGCCAAGAAAATGTCAAAACACTTTCTACGATTCTGCATGAAACTCGAAATTGTCATTTCTGAACTCTTACCTACTTATTACATTGAAGTTCATGCAAAAATGTTAAGAGACAGTGATAGTGATTAAAAGCCAATGATTTTGGATGAAAGAGGGAGAAAAATGTATTTTCTTCTAATATCTCAGATTCCTCTTTTGTCAGTATCACATGCACATTCACAGATTACTAAATTAAAATTTCTACTTTGAAGAGATGTCTAAATACAAATGAGAACAATGAGTAATTTCATGCATAGGATTTGCTTGTTAAAATTGAATGTGTTGGGGATGTGTTACAGAGAATGACGGTTTTACCACTGTCATTGATCACATGCCTTCTGTATTATTTCATATTTAGCAATTTTGCTTTCCAAATAAGATGAACAATAACTCTATAGCTTGTTTAATCTTTCCATTCTGTTGCTAAGTAGGCAGCAATAGTTATTTTTTTAGAAGATATCTTCGCCTTTGAATTTGAAATGTCACATATGTTGTTTAGAAAGAACAGCAGTATATTAACAGTTTTAACAGTATCAGCAAGAAGAACGAGCAGGGAAATGTTTTAATATGGGGATCTTGCCAGTATTCAATTAGATACAGTATGTGAAAATCCAGTAAAAAAGATTCTAACTTTTACTTGTGTATTGAGTCTTACTTGATCTTAGTACTGCAAATGTGTGTGTATGTATCATGGGAAAAATACATTGCTAATTTCACACTTAGTATCAGTTGCAGATGGAAGAGCTGAAAGCCTGAAAACCCTTGAGCATGGGAGGAGTTCTTCATAAAAATACTTGAAGCATTGTTTTTCAAATCCTTCCTTAAAATAATTGCTGYCCTGTGCCTACTAAGCACTGACACAGTGACTGTGCTTTGTTAAGGCTGGTGCCTGCTGCGAATGATAGGTTTCACATTTACCTCACACTCCCATCTTTTTATTTACTTCCTAAGTTAACCCTGCAAGAGCTAATGGGGGGAAAAGCTCTTAGATACCTAATGTGCAGTTTAGGCTAATTAAGATATAAATTCAAGACAGCAACAGATCTGAAAAATAGTTCCCTACCCAGCCTTCTCAGATTACCGAGACACCAGGGGAACCTGAGATTCCAGTGGACAAATAAAATTTTGCTACAGTACATGTCTAAAGGTGATGTATTTTGGGCTTACCTGTGCTTACCATAGATTTAACCAGAACTCCTTGATGAAGTAGGCATTCCGGAAGCTCTCTGACTGGTTTTATGCAGGCTGCTGCTTGGCCTAGTCTGAATGTGAGATTCTTGGATCCTCAAACTGGCTTCCTACATCACAACATCCTTTGTTGTCTCTGTAGGCTACCACTGATTCCAGATAATGGCTGTTCAAAGAAACCTAACGCAACTAGCATTGAGTTAAAGCTGATCATTATTATTTCTAAAACAGGGCAGCTTTTACTGGTTGTCTTTATTACACAGTGCCAAAGCCATTGGATCAGAACAACTAAGTCACTTCTAGCCCCTGCTGTTAGGTTTGTTTGTATTTTCCTATCTCCCAAAGAAAAATACAGGGTGGTTTAAAGTGCTAGAGCAAAATCTCTTGTCTTAAAATCAATAGTTTTTTTTTTCGCTATCTAGATGCTCTACAAATGAAATTTCTAACCTTTCTTTGTGGGCCTATATGACAGATACAGTATTTCATAAGGTATAGAATTTGATTGAGGAGTTATAGAAGTAATAGGCTACAACAATTGTATGAAAACTATTATAAAGAATATTCAGCAAGCAAACTTCCTTTTTCTTAACACACTGTAGACGCCCTCCTCAAGCTGAATACTATTGTATATTGTATTTTCAAAGAATTAATGAGTGACAGATGGAAAGGCACAAATCACTCTACATTAATTCATGCAGTGCTTGAATGGGAGATCTCCTAGGAGTGGAAAGAGGTGCTTGTGATTCAATAAGACTTTTTATACAGATCACATTGTTTCATGCAGGATTATACTATCCAGAATATTTCCTTTTGTCTGGGGCTGATCCAAAGTCATCTAGAACTGACAGACTGTATCTGTATAAGAAATTAACAGGGAAGTAGCCATGTAATTTTAGTGTTCATTTTATGTGTGTAGTTTTAGCAGAAGGATAGGTAGTGATAAATGGAGGAGAGATAAGCCCACGTTTAAAGGATAAAAATTTTTTAGGTTGTTGAAATGAATAACAGATAGAAAGGTTTGCCTAGAGAAAGGAGAGACCCTATTTTATGAAGACAATCTGTGTAAAGCTGTGAAGAACATGAAATGATGTTTTGAAACAAAATATTAAACATTTTAAGCAGAAACATGTTTTTTGATTAACTGGCATAAACTTGGCTCAATCAGGAAGATAAAATATTAAAATTCAGAATATGCAATTTATTCAAGAGCCAAAATCAGAAGACACCAAGTGGTGCGTGATCTAATTAGGGGTTGTGATGTTTTGGATAAAAGAGGCATAGGTTAGCTAATGTGACAAAAACAAAATGTAGCTAAAACAAATAGCAAAACATATCTAGGAAATTTTTACAAGACCTCCGAGGAAGAGTGAAAAGATGGATCAGGAAACTTCTTTGTTTAGATAACGTAGATCACTGATCTCAGGAGAGTTGACTTGCCTTGACAAGTAACTCCCACAGCATTTACAGAATGGGTAAGAAGAGGTGGGGGTTGTTCTGGTGGAAAAACTACTTTCTTGCCTAGCTTGTATAAGAACACAGTCAGAAACAGCTGAATGGGTCTGTTTTCATAGCACATATCTGAGCATGAGAAATAATATGCCAAGAGACAAAAAAAGGAGTGATAACTCCATGAATGAAACAATTGCATGGCAATGTCATAGAAATTTATGACAGTTGAATCACTAATCTTAATTCATTGATGTAGACTGATCCTCACACTATTGCAATCAGGTCCTAATTTGCAGAAAGGAAGTGTATAACTCTAAAGGCTGACCTTTAGAAAAAAAGGATTTTTAACACTTTGTGTGATCCTTTCCATCTTATTGGACACTATGAGATGAATGAGTTTGATGAATTGCCAAATGAAAATGCTTTTCATTAGTGCTTTCTTTCCCCAGAAAATGAAAACTTTGGGGAAAATTAAGAACAGTCCCAAATCCACACTTTAGTACCAGAAATGGAATTTAGCAAACTTATAATTAAACTTTCAAAGTGTCTTGAACTGCAAAATCCAAACTTGTGAATATAGATTTTTTCATTATCAACATTAGAATAGAAAGCACTTAACAGAGGGCTGAAAACATTTAATAATATAATAATAATAATAATTTAATAATAATTTTAATAATGTCTTTAAGATTCTTGAATTTTAAAGCTTGGGCTTTTTTTTTTTTTAAGCCAATTAGAAATGTCTGGCTGCTAAATTCACCCATCTATTGCTTAACTAAACAGGTTCTAACCCTTTTGGTTCACACTGGTGACACTAAGTGACTTGTATATACATTAATTTTTGGCGACAGTTTGCATATAGAATAGAGCTAGATTCACACAAAGGCAGTGGGTGTTGGTATGTTTTGAGTGCCAGAACCAAGGAGGAATCAGAAGAGATACCTAAGATCCCATCGTATGGATTCACAAGGATTGACACGCTACAAAACTAGAGCAGCCAGCAATGGCGTGGCCTGAGTTAAGCMCTGAAAAAAGGACTGTGTTTGGATGCCGTTGGTCCTGCACTTGCAGCCTTAAGTGGGACCAGTTTTCTGCCAAAAACAAAGAGAGCAGAGGAGGCAGAATTAACTTAAAGTGTCATTAATTCATGCATACACTTTTATATATGTGCTGATATATAAGTGGTCACCATGTTGGTTGATCAAAATTCAGGGCTGCGTACTGCATACACATTTTCCTTTAGTTTCCAAGAGCTTTGTACTTTGTTATTTTTCTCCTTGTGATTTGTTTCTAAGCAAATACAAGCAAGTTTGTCCTGGATTAATGTTGAAATTGCCTGCTTTTCATGATTTTAATGCAAAACAGTAGCTGATCTGTAATGCAAAACAGTGTGAGCCCTTTACACTTTGTGTATAGTTGCTTGGACTGGGCCACGACATTAAGGGAGATTAGATGAGCTGTATTGCAAATTGCTATATTATGAGAGAATTATAAGTACATAGTGTAAGTAAGAAGTAAGCAATAAGAATAAAAACTTGGTTCCTTGCTCATGCACGTGTCAAACAACAATCAAACAGCCAATACATTAGGACTTTATTATTATTATTATCAGCTGTATGCTGGGGTATCCAGAGCCCAGCAGTGAAATGATTTCCACCTAAACTCATTTTTAACAGAGCAAAAATAGTCATGATAGGTTTAGTTAGAATTTCAACACTGCACTAAAGACAGTTTCTAAAGTCAGTAGGGAGATATTATAGAGAATGAATGAGGTACAGGAGGCAGGGACCATAAAATCTTGGCTCGTCTTTTCCCAGTTTGCCATGTCTCTGTGCACATCACTTTTCTTCAGTTTTCCATTTCTAAAACAGAAATGAGGTTTATGAAACATCCATATGTTTTGGGACCTTGAAAATATTGGCGTTTTGCATTCCTGTTTTGAGACAGGCATAGAGGTGGTGAGGTTTCAGTAGACCGCACACCTTTGCTTTGTGCTCCCTACAAAAGAATAAAGTTATGCTGGGAAACTGCAAAGCACTTAACTGAGAGCTCCAGATTTCAAAGTTCAGATGGGGAAACATTAGAAAAAAACACAGCTTAACGGAGAATAGCTAGTATGGGATTCAGGAAGGGCTGGTCATGCTTCAGT